TTGGGGGGGGGGGGGGTGCCGTGGTGGTGGTGATGGTGGTGGGGTGATGGCGACCTTCTTCGCTGTCGCTATTTAGGTGGCGATAGCTATGTGCTACAGTGGGGGGGTCTCTATAGTGCCGGGGCGTGTCCCGAGATTTTGTCGGCACTATTCAGAGAACGGAACGAGTTGGTACTTCAGTGTGTGCGAGCCGAAAACACCCGCACTATAGAGGGACCCGGCACTATAGAGGGACTCGGCACTATAGAGGGCCCCCCACTGTGTTGTCAGCGAGGAAGGGAGCGGTTTCACCCGGAGGTGGTCTGGTGTTCTCCACCAGTGTAGTGCGCTCTTTTGGTGATGAGGCATGTACTGCTGTAGGTCATCTTCACAGTAGTCCCGAGAACAGTCCCGCTTACCATCAAGATGTACCTGACCATCAGCTGCTGACCATGCGGGTGACAATGTGGTGATTGGAAGTGCCGATGCAGTTTTCAGGGTTGACCTACGGGGGGAGATTCTGCTAGATATCCCCCACGGTGTGTCGCGCTTTGTAGGGATGCAAGGCCAATGGTCTGACGACTACGGCATGCACGACCATGAGTACATCCCCCCCGCACGGTGCCAGTAGGAAGGAACGATTGGCCATAGGTGATCCGTCCTGTGAGAACAATGCTCCGTTTCCTCTGGGAGACGCGTGGTCAATTTGTCTAACTGATAAGGCATGCAAAATATGAGCAAGTCCCCCCCCGCGCTGCCAGTACTATACCCCCCCCACTCCCCTCCCCGGTGTTTGCCATCGGGGTTTGGGTTTTCGTCGCTTGGCAACGACGTTGTAAAACAAGCCCCCCACTCGGTGTTTGCCATCGAGATTGGGTTTTCGTCGCTTGGCAACGACGTTGTAAAACAAGCCAATTCACTTCGTGAACTCGGCAACCCAGGTTACCGTTTTTTTTTTTTTTTACCTCGGTTTTTTTTTTTTTGCGGTAACCATAATGGTGGTCGAGTAGATCATGTTGTGCGGGGTCGAGAAACCTCACTCCGCGCAACGGGGGATGATCGCACCACGTTGTGTTAAAATGGTCAAGCTTCCTCGAGGCAGTTACACAGTGCTTACAACTGTCTCTGGAAGTGAAAGCACCAGAAAATAAATTAAGTCATACGTAGCTGTCACCCGTACGCAAGGAAGTAAGCACAAGATGCCGAACACCCTTAGCAGGATGCAGCTCACCCTTCATGCGACTCGCCAAATACCTCACGGCGCTTCGCGCTTGGTGATGTGAGAGCCTGGTCCGGTGAGAACCCGGCGTGCTCCGTCCCGGCTTTGTAGGGATGCGAGGTCAATGGTCTAACGACTTCGGCATGCACGACTATGAGTACACCCCCCCCCCTCCCCGCGCGCCTCCAATCTGCCTTGATGTACCGTAGACCGACGAGAGCGAGGCGGTGTCGGCGCACGGGGAGTTTGTGTTCGGGGCGGCGCTTGTCGTCCTCGAGTTGCTGGTGCTGGCCTACTGCAACCACGCACACCGGAAGGTGATCGCGAGGATGGGGGTGGTGGGTGGTTTCAAGGGCATTGGAGCAGTGCTTCAGGTGAGGACGAGGGAGAGAGGGAGAGACAGAGACAGAGACAGAGACTGAGACAGAGACGGAGACAGACAGACAGACAGACAGACAGAGGGACAGACAGACCGGCAGAGACAGACCGGCAGAGACAGGAACAGAGGGGGAGGGAGAGGGAGGGAGACAGACAAACGCAGATAGAGACAGAGACAGCAATCGAGATATCAAGACAGACACAGACACAGACACAGACACAGACACAGAGTGACAGAGAATAGGGGATGGGAGGGGTGCAGTGCTACGTGTGCTCTCTGATAAATGTACACGTGCGTGGCCGAGGATTTTTTTTTTTTCCGTTTCGTCCTCCGGGGTGCTTACGCTTGGCAGGAGCTCTGGGTGGAGCCGAAGCACCACATGGGCGAGGAAACGGCGGCCATCGACGTCAGGGACCTTCTGCTGGCCGCCCCCGTAAAGGCTCCCACCCTCGAGCAGCTCACTTCTGAGGCTTCCGGCAATGTGAGTCAAGCCCCTGTTCTACCCTCTCTGCTGTTGTGTGTTTCTGCAAAGGTTCCGTGGTTTCGACGTCGTGTGTTTCGTCTTGTGTGTCTTCCGTGGTTTACTACATTGGGTGTGTTTTGTCTTTTTTGTGTCTGCTCGTGCGGGAGGGCTGTTTCTTGCTTGGGCGCAGCGGTCGTGAGTGGTCCCCGTGGTAGACCGCATCAGTAGACGGTCGTGGCACACGGATTGAGTGGATGTTCAAGTTTTTGTCATGTCTGGTATGAGGGCGGCCAAATGTCTTGGCGCTGTTCGGCGTTTCACAGGGACCACTGGTGCTGTTGTGGATGACGATGTTTTGGTTTTGGTTTTGTGTTATTCCATTCCCCCTCTCCGGCGAAGTCGAGGAAAATACGCCAACGCTATGCGGCGTTGCACGGGGACCACTGGTGCTGTTGTGGAAGACGATGTTTTGTGTTGTTTTTGTGTTATTCCATTTCCACTCTCCGACGAGGGTATTGAAAATACGTGGGTATCGCCAGCGGCGCCTTGGTTGCGTTCGTGTGCAAAGCACAGACAGACCAGCTTGACGCTTCTCTGGCCTACTATGCCCCCACTGGCAGCAGAATGCCATCAAGCTATTATTCTGTTATCCCAAAATCATACCTCCCCCCCTTTGCAACACCACTCACTCCCAGTCGAGATATAACGCGTGCTCTTCATCGCGTCTGCAAGTCTACCACCTACCTACCATGGGCACGTGAAGCTAGCTTGATTTTGTTCTTCCAGATGTCATGGGATGAGTCGCTTCGTTTCTGACGTCGCTCCGACCCCCCCCCCCCCCCCCCCCCCATGGGACCCCCTTTAAAATTTCAACCCCTGTGGGGAAACCCCAGGGGGCGGCTCCAGGCCCGGGGAAATTTAAAGTTGTTCCAAGGGCCCCCTCCTCTTTCGGCTCCCGGAAGGGAGGAGGTTTCCCCCCCCATTGGAAAAACAGTTTCGGAACCCAAGGTCCCCCGGGGCCCGCAACCGTACATTTTAAAGGGTAAAAAGGGTGGGGCGGAAAACCACCGGAAAAAAGGGGGGGGGGACT